TGATTGCTGGATCTGGGCCTATTCCTCCATAAGTCCTGGTCACCTTTGATGGGCTTACTCGCGTTCGGCCCATATGGCAGTGTCTTTATATGGGCCGACCCAGCTGTACGGACCGAATGCAGTGCTTGCAAGTCGGATCCGGCCCATGTCGTCCTGGGCCTCCTCAGTTCATCAATATTTTTTACCATTTATCAACCACGTTACATGCTAAAAGCTATCACATTGGTATTACTTGTCAACTTGCATGAGCGCATAGAGTACACTTGGAATATAACATGGTTAAAGTACAAGTGGGTTGTTGCATGTAAGAACTGTCAAGTCCAAGTACAAGTGAGTTGTTGCATGTAAGAAGTTTCAAGTTTAAAAAAGGTTAGCATTATATAGACACACACACACACACACACACACACGTATATATAACAGCCACCGAATGGCAGCCTCAACCCAGTGGTTAAAATTTGTAAGCCCAACTATTTCGGCAAGTTACCCCTTTTTTGTAAAGTCATACCCAAAACTATTACATGGGTATCAAGCCAACACATGGCCACGGGTCAATAACTCTCATGAAAAGAAGAACAAAATGGGGACTCAAGTGTGACACCTTTAAAAAAGTTGGTGTGTATGGGTGCATATATATACCTAGTCATACCCAACGAAATAAAGAAGGAAGCTGCCGAACTGAAGAATAATTCCAGATCTAAGCCTTCGAAATAGCAGCCTAGTACTTCGGCACCGTGCCATTACCCGCCACGTTAAATGCTCAAAGATATCAAGTTGGTGATTTGTCAATTTAAATGGGAACCAAAGTTACACATGGGTTGTAGTATGGTTAAAGTACAAGTGGGCTGTTGCGTGTAAGAAGTTTCAAGTCTAACAAAGGTTGGCATTTATAAAGTTGGTGAACACCAAGACTTGGTCACCGAAAAATTGCCCAGTGGTTAATATTATGAGCCAAACAATTTTGGCATGCAAGGAGCACTTCGACATAGTACGGTCTCAAGTTCAAAGTTATCTAATTGATATTGCTTGTCAACTTGATACACTTGGGATGTAATATGGTTGAAGTATGAGTGGGTTGGGCATATAAGAAATTTTAAGTCTGAACAAAGTTGATTTGAAGTATATGAATATATAAAGCCACTGAAACTTCTACCCACCACCCACCAAATGGGTTCAGTTGGGAATGAATATCATCAAAGGGTGGATGTTGTGATCTGAACAACTTCCACAAATAGTCACTTGGGTATGTTATTTGGTCATTTGATGAAACTTTGCAACATGGCGATCACGTTCCAGAGATACACCCAAAATTACTACATGTGCATTAGGTGTAAGATGCTTTGGTACCATGCCAACACTTGAGAACAGAAAAAAATGGGATGTGATCAATATAATGGAAGTACAAGTGTGCTGTGCAGGCAAGAACTTTCAAGTCTAACAAAGGTTAGCATTTATATGTGTGTGTGTCTGTGTGTGCGCGCCACTGAAGTAATGAATGGTAGCTACCTAAATGGAAATTAAATTCTAGCCTAGAGCCACCAAAATGGCATTGTGGGATTTCAACCTTATCCCACCCAATCAGTTTTGGTCTAAACATTAGTTTTGTGAGTCCACTTGCAATACCTTCACATGGGTAAGTCAGGACATCAATTTGGTTAGTTAAAAATTGGACATCTTTGAGCTACATGCACCATGGTGGTGGGTACATATTATGAAGCATTATTGGCTCTAGATATTTTGCTGAAATTTGGGTCTTGAGTCATACAAATTTCAAATTGACATATGGATTATGTTATTCATGTCGAAAATTGAGGCCAAAATTGGCCATACAATGGTCCACTAGGCTGAAGTTGGAGATCTTAAAAACTTCCGCTTATGTAAATAAAACTCTTCAAAAATTTAGCATGAACTCATTTTCATAGTGTTGGGGGCAGTTGTTAATACCTAAATCATGACCAAAATCATGATGCCACGTAGTCGAAGACACCAAGGCCTAAACTCTAGATTAGCCCATGATCATGGCTTTGAACTCTCGATCAAAGAGGTGAAAATATTAATTTCTAATCATGGTGGTTGAAATCAAGGCCAAGAGGAGAATGGAAATCTTCTTAGGTCATCATTACCCAGATAAGATATTAAGCCTATAACCAACCATGGCCTAAGAGTGTCTAGGCCAGTCATGGCCTAAGGATAATGACCTAAGAGTCTAACTAGCCATGGTCAGAAGTCTCAACCTTGGTCAAGAGAAATTTAGGAGTCTCAGCCAACGTGGCCTAAAAGTCTCTTGACCAACATGACCTAAGAGTCTTGATCAGTATGACCTAGGAGCCTCGGTCAACTACGGCCCAAGAGTTATCAGTATGGCCTAAGAGTATTTATGCCACCCATGGCCTAAGAGTCTCAACCAACCATGTTTCGGAGTCTCAATCATGTTTGAAAATGAACTTTATTTCGAAACCCATGGTCAAGAGTCTTGACTATCACCAAGAAGAAATTTTATATCAGACTATCTTCATGTGTCTCAACCATGATCAAGTAGGAACTCTATTTTTGACAATAATGATCAACATTTAGTAATGTTCAAGACCAACGGAACTTCTCGATCACAAATCAACTCATGATCAAGAATGACATGTTGACAATAGTGATCGAGAGTCTAGGCCTAACCATTGGCTAAGCTTAGGCTAATATAGATTAAATCTCTTCGTAGGTGATGGGCACTTGAAGAAGATTTGCTGTAAGTCAAAGTAAAGATTAGTTGTGAATTCTAAGATCAGTAGAACTTAAAAGTCAGGTCTGGAGACTAAAAATAAGTCTAAAACGGAAGGGACAATCTGACCATGTTTAAGGTTTGGAAACCCAAAGCTACAAATAGAAAATTTCACCTACCTCTGATGTAAATACACCAATGGTCAGTGGTTAGAAGGTGCAACAGCCTAGGCATGGATCAAAGTCAAGAATGGTAGGTGAGGAAAGCTTAAAAAGTTTAGAGCATCAGAGAGAACAGCTTTAAAAGGATCTGAAGCCTATAAATACAAGTAGTCATGAAAGATGAAAAGTTTTACTGAACACGTGGGTAGGCATGCAAGCTTGTTAAAAGCTGAAGATTCCAAGATGGGTCATGAACGGTCACTATCACTCCGAACCCAACCACCACCTAGAGGAATGCGAGCTGAATAAGACAACACCAAGCCAAGATCTCTATAAATAATTGACCAAGCCTCACAAGCAAAACATCCAGCACCATCATCCAACATTCCTTTTGTTATCCATCTTTCTTAGTTTATCTTAGCTTATAGCTTTTAGATTCATAACTTTATCTTTCATGCCTATTAGATCTTTAGCATCTTTCATGCCTATTAGATCTTTAGCTCCTTAGCTTTAGTCCAGTAATATTAGCTAGTTGTAATTTGGTTGCTTAGCACATTAGTTCTCTAGTTTGTTATCTTTTAACTTACGTATCTCTTTCTCCCAACATTAATTAATGAAATCTTGTTTTTTTATGAAAGTATTGAATTTCTTACTCTTCTTCATTTTCTTGTCTCCTTATCAAGCTCCCATTTTCAAGACTGAAAGTCCTTGTCATCAAGGGATTGAGAACCATATAGAGAGGGTTATTTCTAGTCTCCTTCAGTTGCCTGATCTTTAAGAAGACCGACATACGATCTGAAATAGGAATATTATCAAGCTCCCATTTTCAAGACTGAAAGTCCTTGTCATCAAGGGATTGAGAACCATATAGAGAGGGTTATTTCTAGTCTCCTTCAGTTGCCTGATCTTTAAGAAGACCGACATACGATCTGAAATAGGAATAGTTTGGCTTACCCACATTTATGTTCGACGGAACACTGGCACGCCCACACACTCTACTCGGGATCTCATGAGCCAAGTAATCTAGGCTCACCACGTGGGACTCGGCATTGCGAGCCAAACAAATATTGACGGCAAACTCTGCCGAAGAGAAGATAGCTGCTCTGTGATGACGGTGGTTGTTGCAAGACTATGATCGGCAATAATGGAGGTTTTGCGTTTGGGTGAACTGTAGGTTAAGTGTAAATGACAACAAAGGCTGTGTTCGGTTGTGCAGTGGTTTCTATGTGATTTTGCTCGGCCGTGGAGTTGTTAATGGTGGATTGTGATGACTAATGGTGGTTTGGGTGAAGGTAAAGGTTTCATTTGGCCTCGGTATGTACTGAATAACCTTTTTTGGGGGGTTTTGTTTATATGCGACGAAAAAGAAGGATTTGGGTTGTGTTAGGGTTTGGGGTTTGGTTTATTTGTGACTATGATGAAGGTTGTGGGCTTGTTTGGTGGGGCTTACGATCGTTTGAATAGGTTACTGGAGTTTGGAAACATGAGATGGTGGGATTTTAATTGACGAACAATAACCATAATAGTACTTAGAGAATGTTGTGCACAATTAAAAATTCCTTTAACCGATCGATTCTGTCTGATACCAATTGACCTAGGACATGTAGTATCCAGAAAGAAAGTTGGGGGTGAGAATGAGAAAATGAGATGAGGCGAGACGAAGGAGGTGAGAAAATAGATTGAAGGAGGTAGGTTAGAAAGACCAAGAACAACAAGAACAAGGAGGGAGAAGAGACACAAATGGAGTTCTCAAACTCAACGATAATGTTCAATATTCTCAATAACTGAATTCTGATATTACAAAGGAGCCTTTAAATAGGCAAATTACTAAGCAAATCCTAAAATATAAAAATACAAAAATAACCCTAAAATCCAAACAGTATAAAAAATAACATTAAGCATAAATAAAAACCCTAAATTACTAAAATCCCTAATTATATCTTTCTTTTCTCCTTCTCCTATGGTATGTGTAAGTCATATTTGGTTCTAGCTCTTCTTGAGTTGTGCCTTGTTCTCCATCACTCTTTCTTCATCCTACAAACTCTCTCTCTCTTCACACCATAGATCTTCGTCGCTGTAACACCCTAGAAGAAAGTCTTGAATTTTTTATCATGTGTTTTTTGGTTCAGGGGGGACAATGATTGAGGTGGCAAAACGAAAATCTTCTTGGGATTAACTCAGAGGTACTTATTTGCTTTTAGTTTCTTTGAGCCTTCTTGCTTATATATATGTTTCTTTAATCCTGCATTTCCAAACTCTTATTTATGATCCAATTCAATTTTTATATATTTTTTGTTGGTGAATCCAGTGCAATTTGTAAAGTACTTAATTTTTTGGATATTCACTAGTATATATTTTTAGTATCTTTCAAGTTGGTACTTTGTTGAGTAGTTCTTTGTCTTTTACATGGTTATGTGGGGCTAAGATGACTTTAATGGTACTCTATCCTATAGATGATATGATAATCATAGAAACAGAGACGAGACTGAGTATTTGATGCTACAGGGATGGGCATATGAGTAAATCCATTTTATAATTTAACTACTCTATCATGTTGCTTTCCTTAACTGCCACTACTGTATTTATTTCTCTTTCAGGGAATCAAGATTGATGGGGTATGTTTGCATCCTATTTTGTTACTTCAGATTGATGGGGCATGTTTGCTATATTAGAATTGCGTTTATAAATTTGCATTAATGTTTATTATTACTTTGTACCTCACAAATTTGTTTTGCTGGGTTTTCTTTATGGTAAGGGAATGTGGATTGGTGAGAAAGCTTGGGTTTAGATTTACACATTTTTACTGAACTTTTGGTTTGGCCCTAAGTGGATTTATCATTTATCTGATCATCGAACATTTAGTAAACAACATTTCTCAAAATATTAAATAATCTATTTGAGATCCAAATGATTCTGAATTTCTTGGAATTTTTTTTTTTTTTTTAATTTTCCGTTTCTTTGTTAATTTGTTTTTGAATTTCTTGAATGTTTTTTATTCGTTAATTTCATGAAATTTTTATGCTTCGTTTGGTTGGAGGGATGGAAAAATGGATGGAAGAGATAGGGGGAGGGATGCTTGAGAAATCCCTAGGGAAGGGAAGGTGTCTCCCCCATTTTTTGTTTGGTTGAATGGAATCGATAGTAGAAATGATTGATGGGATGATAACTTTTTTTGTTTGGTTGTAAGGAAGGGAAATAGAGTTTTTATATATTTTTTACCAATATACCCTCAATGTATAAAATAATAAAAAGTAGATATTTATTTTAATTTTTTTTAAAAGGATAAAATTGGAAATTGTATATTTGTGGGTAGTTACTCATTTTCTCTCCCCAGCCTTCCCCCCAAAATTGGACGGATAGAAAAACATGAAGAAAGGAGGGATGCTTCATCCCTTCTTGCTTCCTCCCTCTCTTCCCTTCCCTTGAACTAAACACAAAAAGCTTCATCCCTCCCTCCTCTCATCCATCCCTCCAACCAAACATAGCATTAGTTTGTTTATTTTTATTATTTTTTTTTCCTGAATGGGGTTATGTATTATCATTAAATCATCAATAACAGCAAACTCTGGATTCTCTATATTTAGCGTGCCAAACAGACCACTCCGAACAGTTCTAGCAAAAGGGCAGCAACAGAGAAGATGATCATTGTCATCTTCAGCGGCATAACAATTGTGACACGTTGCAGCCAGAGATATGCCTCTTCTTTTTCAAATGGACATAGGATAGATTCCCCTGCTGTACAATAAGAGCAACAACCACTGAAACCCTTGGTCTACAATACCTCCAACACAACTTAGACCATGCCACCCTAGGACCTTTTTGTCTACACACATTCCAAGCCGATTTCAAAGAGAAGGTGCCAGACTTCCACAAGATACAATCGGAGTCCACTCCAATAGCTTAAGATGAAATGTAGTTTCTGATATCAGCAGGTAGAGTTTCAGGAATATGCCAATTCCCATCCCGAAGAAATGTTTGCACAGAAGCACTGTTACCATAGTATCTAAAAATAGTGGCACCGAATCTCTGAACAAGTGATCTACTACCACACCAAGGATCATGAAGCAAATTAAACTCGTCACCTATCCCAACCCTATATGTACACTGTTGTAGAACAAGGTCTCTAACCTCCAAAAGTTTCCAAACAGTAGAGTCTTGTTGTTTGGGAACAACAGACCAGAAGTTGGCTACTCTGAGATACCTACCTCTGAACCAATGAATCCAAAGCTTATCTTTCTGGATAAAGTCCCAACACATAGCTAGTAATAAAGGAAGGAAAACAAGACTGGCCTAGAAGTTCCCACCTACCAGCAATAGACAAATTGAGCGTACTCCAGTTCTGAAGTCTAGCATTCACTTTATTAAATAAAGTAGAAAAATCAGCAACCTTGAGCTTCTAATCTGATAATGGGATCCCCAAATACTGAATTGGAAACTCAGCAACTTTGAATTGTGGGATCTGACCTATTCCTCTGCTTCTCCTCACTGCCGTGGAAAACATCAGTAAACTTTTCTCAGCATTCACTTTTAGACTACTAAAGGCCCCAGACTGATCTAACAGTGTCTTCAGAGCTCGGGCATTAGAGAGAGAAGCCTTCAACACAATAACAAGATCATCAGCATACAGGGCATGAGGCACTTGCAAACCTGTCTTCACTGTAGCATTAGTGAGTTGAATTTGGCCAGTATTGATACCATCCATCATCATAGTAGAGAATAATTCAGTTACAAGAGTGAACAATAAAGGTGATAAAGGACAGCCTTGTCTAATTCCTCTTGAAGAAGAAAAATATCCAGCGGACCCCATTGAATAAAATTGAAAATTTAGGTGTTGAGATACATTCCATTACCCATTGAATCCATCTTGCTCCAAAGCCATAAGCCTGCATCCTTTCTTTTTTAAAGCCCCAAATATAGTGAATCATAAGCTTATTGAAGGTCCACCTTCAAAGCCATAGCAGGATCACCCATCTTTATTCCAAAATGACTAACCATGTCAGCAATTAGGAGTATATTGTCATGGATCCTCCACAAAAGCAGATTGCTCCAGACCAACAATAGAAGGCAAAATCCCACTAAGTCTATTTGCTAGAAGCTTAGTGATGATTTTATATAAGAAATTATGAAGTGCAATTGGTTTGTAATTTGTACTCAGAGCATTATGATTAATTTTAGGAATTAAAGTAAGGAAAGTAGTGTTCACTCCCATTGGAAGCTTGGAACTAGAGAAAAAATGGAGCACAGCCTTGACCAGACCACCACCAACATGCCAAAACTTTTGAAAGAACCTAGCTGGAAATCCATCTGGACCAGGAGCTTTATTAGGATGAAAAGCCATAACAACACCTTTGATCTCCTCCTCAGTAGTACTCCCTTTAAGATAGTTTCCTTGGTTAGTACTAAGGAAGGGTCTTCCTAGGTTGAAAAGTGCCCCTCACACCTTCTCCAGCAGTATATAAATTCTCATTATACTCGATCAACCATTGTTTCATAACTTTTGGATCTTCAGACACCTCCTCAGGCCCTTTTTGAAGTTGAGTGATGGCATTATATGCCCTTCTAATCTTGGTCTTATGATGAAAAAAACTAGTACATCTATCTCCTTCCTTGAACCATTGGACTGACTTTTGTGCCCAGAGGATCTCTTCCATATCAATCAGATTCTACACCTGAAACTCTATTCTCTCTCTTTCTGTAATAACTGCTCATCCAAAGGCTTCTGTAATAATTCCATCTGAGTCAATAGCAACCCTTCTCTAGCCCCTTGAAGCTGTGCATCTATTCTACCACCAGCGTTTTTCCAATTTTTTATGACTGACTTGACCTCTCTTAATTTCTTCATAACCTGAAGAATAGGTGAACCAGAAGTCTGCACACTCCATGCTTAGACACAAGACTTTACGCTTCCTGCTGTAAACACCATATTTTTAGGAATTTGAATGGCTTAGGACCTGCAGAGCATGAATGAAACCATTTGACTACCATACCATAATGGTCTGAGAGGGATGCAGTATTTAACAAGAGCTTGGAGTCGGTAAACTCATTGAGCCAATCCCTATTTACCAGAGCTCTATCCAATCTAGAAAATATTATTTTTTGTACTCTGTTTATTAGTCCAAGACCAATCGCCATTGTTAGAGGGTAAATCATCTAGCCTGAAGGACTTAATGAGATTATTAAACTCATCCAGCAAACACCGATGGAGCTTTTGACCACCTCCCTTCTCATGATGAAACCGCACAATATTCCAATCGCCAATAGCAAGCTAAGGCCCTTGAACAGTAGCAGCATGAGCCTGCAAACTCACCCATAATTTTTTTTCTTTCATTTTTAAAATTATCAGCATCCACTGCTGACACATACACAACTAAACCAGAAGCAATAATTTTTATTTTGAGAAGCATGGACTATCTACACAAACCAGAGAAATATCAAGGATAGGTCTATTCCAGCCAACCCAAATTTTAGCCAAAGGATTACAATCATAATTGGAAAGCCAGCCCCAAGAATGACAAAGCCTCTTCTAAATTATGTCAGCATTTCTCTGTCTAACTCTAGTTTCCACCAGCACTATACAAGCACAGTGATTCTCTAATAACCAGCTTTTAACCTCACGTTGCATAACATTCCATGCTCCTAACATTGAGAAAGTGGCTTAGGTGGATTGCCGCCTGTGCCCTTATTTCTAAGGGCCCTATCAGATTGTGGTAACTGTGTCTTTTTCCTACCCCTCTTCTCCTCAAGAAAATGACTTAATATGATATCCGGCGATTGACCAGCATTCTCTAATTGATCAAGATGAGTTACAGTGCATTCAACCCCCTAGCTTGGTCAGCCATACTAACAAGGTCCTCACCATTATCAGAAATGCCTTCATCCGAATCATGCATAAGGTCCAAATCGCAATTGTGCAACGCACACTTTGAAGGACCCTCACTCTCAACAGCCACAACAAGATTAGAATCATGATCCCGCACCATGACTGGAGCTGTTAAATCATCCTTAATTGCATCAGAATCTGGAAAAGACCTTTCTTCATCTTAAAGCAAAGCAAGATGTCTCTATCCCAACCTTTTTACCCCCTGTGACGTTTTGAACCTCCACAATTGAGGCAACACGCTGATCTAATTTTCCCTTCATCTTAACTACCCATTGCCCTACTGACTTCTTACGTGATATCTTC